CCAGCTTTCAAATAAACAGGTCATATATATCATATGATTTTTCATGGCTGAAGACTTTTGACTTTCCATCTAGATGTTTAACAAAGACATAGTCTATAGGAGTAGAACAATATCATTTTTCGATCTCTCTAATGATGTTTATTACATTCTATATTTTAAGTTAAATTTACAATGTAAATTTGTCTATCATGTATTTTAGGATTGCTGATCTAACTTCAACTGATTGAGTTCTGCATCACAAAGCTAATTTACTTTGCTTCTAAGACAGTTTTTGCCTACACTCAATCATCACTGATTCTGTTAAATATAAAATAATGTTTTAATTATACATTTCAATGGAAGCAACGCCTCCTAATCCAGGGATTGCTACATTTTAATGCAATGCAAGCTAGAGAACTAACTATTAATAAGGCCAAGTAATCTGGGAGGATGTGTGAAGCCCACAAAGCCAGATGTACGTATCAGGACTTCTTAAATCAGAATGACTCAGATTATAACTTGCAGGTATGTGGGAGGCATTAAGACAGTGGTCTGGTAACGTGCAAAGTATTTCACTGAACTGCAGCCAACAAAGAAATGCCTCATACTTTCATAAGGGCAAGCCAGAAAAGGGCAAGATTACCATTACAGGCAAAGAATACAAAACTGAAGACAGGTCTGGAAAATGATCAAAATAAACAAATGGATCTATGACTCAGTTGGCTATAGGTAAACAAAGATCTGGGCAAACTAGAAAAAGACAGAGGATATAGTGTGAAGAAAAAGGAATTTTGCCAATACCTCTTCCAATTCCTTTGTAAATAATGGTGATTCCAATAGCCATTCTAAAGTGCTAGAGACTGGAAACGTATCCTTTCTCTGTATACATTTCTTTGTAAAAGTTTATAATTCAAAACAAAAGAAAGTAGCAGAGTTCCTGCTGCTGCTTTGCTGCTGGTTAGGTACATGGATAGCAAATGGCAAAATGACACAGCTGAGTACTCTGTTTTGAGTGGCCACCTGGGGTGACAATTAAACATGCACCTCCATGCACTCCTGCCCAATGGACTGATGGAGTACACTGCTCTCTCAATGCTCTTTCATTTGAAAGTAAAATTACAACACCTGCAGCTTCAAATGCCTTCTCTTCGAGGCAGCAAGTGTATAAAATAACATCTTTTTGATGATCAATTTCTGCATGATGTCTCCAAACCTAATGTTTCCTCTATTAGTAGTGACTTCTGTCTCTTCTCCTCGCTTTCATACTGCATGCAAAATCAGTCTTCAGATATAATTTCTAAGCACTCTATATAAGAAACTACAGATCATACTTAAGCTGTTTATGAATGAGAAATAAAGGTGAAATAAAGCTATTCCTACATCTTCATGTCTTATAAAAAATGTACAAGTTTTCTCTGAAAGTATGAGTTTTGTTTGCTTAGTGCGGGAGTATTTGTGACTCAAAATTCCCCCTGAATTCTGTTCTGAACACTGTTGGGTGTATGCTCACATTACAGGAAGAAAAAGAAGCAACAGATTCACCCAGCTGGCAAGTACCTTCCTGTGGGATAGCTAGACTATTCCTTGCCAATATGCTCATGTATAACAGTGCCAGAACATACTCTCGAGCTCTTTGCAATTATGGCACGCAATTTCAGCACTGCATCCACTTGTAAGACTATCCTGAAGTTGCATGTGAAGTTTCCAATATGATATCCTGAGTATTATTGCTTTTCTGTCAGTATGTTTCAGTAACTGCCAATAAAGGAAGCATGGATAATGGTGTGCTGTCTGAAGGAGTTCTTTCTCACCTATTTCATAGATGTTGTAGGAAATCTTTATCCAAAATTTAAAGCAAAAATAACAAAAACCATTTTTATTATGTATTCTGATACAGAGCCCACAACTAGTTAAAACAACAACAACAAAATCACCACAATAATTCCATCAAAAATTTTATATAAGTGGTGATTTATCACCAATTCCAAGGTCTTCCATCTTCCAGTGGTGCTAGGATAGTACATCAAGAAAAGACCTCTATAACCTTCTCTTTCTCTTGGGATCTCAGATTCTTTTGACAGCTCAACCATTGTCTTTCCAAGATTAAGTATGGTTTGTTTTTTTTTACTTTTGTCCCTGCTAGAAAAAGAATCATCTTCACCCCACCCAGCCCATGGGGGGGCTGAGCTTTTGATCACCAACCAGACAACTAAGCCAGGAGCAGAGTCCTAAATAGCGTCTCTTCAGTATTATTTTACCACCTCATACACCGCAAATCACTTGATAGCATCTTTAATCATATATGAAAGACTGTAACCAGAATGGACTTTTTCTTTATAAAGACATCTTTGCTATAAAGGGAAATAAATAGGAATGTTGTTGAAATATTAATAATAAGTGCTTACTGCTTCTCAAATACCTGACTTCTTTCTTTCAAATACTCAAATTTCTTCTTTCTTCTCTTCCTATGACCCCAAATTTTTTTAATTGATTGATCATATAGTTTCAGGCTTGTTAACACTTGAGTTGCTGGATCTAGTGACACTACTGTACTACTGTCGCATATTTAATTTGCAATGTAGATTGAAGTTGTAATATTTTATCTTCGCTGACGGTACACTTCATTCTTTTTGGATCAGTGTTTATAAAAAACATGTTTATAGGCATCTATTGAGATCTTAATAGGATTGTTCTCAAAAACTGTGATTCATTTAATGGAAAAGGATTAAATTTCCTTCAGCATTGTTATCTCCCTCTGTAGCAGGATTAAATTGATATACTTGAAAAAAGGGGGGGTGGAGGGTGTGCCTGATGTTGGTTTATGTTTCTGTTTTAAGTGTGCTCAAACCAAGACAGAAATCCCATCTACTGAGAATACTGAATCCCACAGTATTGTTTTAAAAACCATACTTTTGGTAACTGATCTCTCTTTGCGTGGTATACACTGTGCTGAAATCTGTAAGTGGGTTGTCTAATACAGGTGTTGGACTGAAGGTCAACATCCCACAGGAAAGTGACTGCCTTGTTTCTTGCATTGTTTCAGATTAACCCTAGCCTGTAAATTCAAGAACAAATAGCTGAGATCAGTACTGCCTTGGCCAGGAAAAGGACTTAATAAACTTGCAGATCTCTACTGCACTTAACTTTTAGTATTTTACAGAAAGTGAATCCTCTGTAACTAAGGGCTCAGCACTTCCAGAACTCAGGATGGACTGAATCAAATAAGGGATTTGTTTTGCCTTTGCTTGCTCCTTTTTGTAATCAGCAACCTGAATTTTCAGATCTTAGCTTATCTGAATGCAACCAAAATGTATGTTTCTAATACCTACACTTGCAACAATACAGCGCATAAATGGACTGGCAGAGGAAAAGAAACTAAGGAGACACTACTTCAGTAACATTAGTCCTTATATAATAAAAAAGACACCAGAGTGAAGCAAGCATGCCGAGATGCCGCTAAAGGGTCACAGTTGAGACACTCTGACCTGGACTGCAGTGTCCTACTCTGAAGGACCTTGATCAGCTCTTTCACTAGCAGGACATTCCCTTTTACGTGTGAATGACTGCGAATTGTATGGCTATGCTGATGTGCCCCACAGAGGGAAATCTTTAAAATTCCAAGCTATCTTACCTAACTAAACAATCCAGGGAGACAGAATAATATTTTTCAGAATCAGGGCTCAATTTCTGATTTGATGAGCAGTAGTTTACTAATAAAATGCTAGCAGAGACAGGAAGATAGAGTGGGATTCCTATTTCATCTGTGCCATCAACAAATGTACTGGCTAAAATCAAATTTCAAAAACTTAGTGGTGCAGGCAGAAACAATCTTTGTTGGATTTTTGAAGTTCAGGTATGTCCTACAGGAGTCAGGTTCGCTGTTTCTTTGTAACATTGAAATGATAGAATTGTAGTTAAAACAGGTTTGAGATGAAGTCTCAGAAGGATCAGGCTAGGAAAGGGCTGTTACTTTTATCTTCTGGACTTTGAAATGATAGGAAGTTAGTCTGTATTTAAACTCATTCTTCCCTATCTGGGAAATACAATAAAATATTGAATGAGGTTTATTTTCACTTTGGAGCATGGAAAAGAGGAACAAATTCTTTCTACACTCACAACACCAAATCAATAAACCAATACACAGAACCGGTTATCTTTTGAAAACTATTCTATCACATGTACATAACGATCTTCTAAGGACTTGTCTGCTGTCAGAGAAGCTTCATTATTTGCATTAGAGTTGCCAGTTGACCAATGGTGATAGGCACACATGGGAAAATACTAAAAAAGGGTTCTTTCTCCTCTTACTCATAGAGCTGGAAAAGAGATTAAGTTGGATGAGTGATCAGGTAATTACAAAGCCTTTGGATATGGACAGCTACACAGAATTTACACTGACGTAGTTGAATCTTTTTGTTTCCCTCTTCCCTTTTCCATTTTTAAAAAAGTCTCCTTTTTCTTCTTAAACTTCCCTACTTCTCTCCCTTTTGATGCCACACCATTCCTAAATAGTAATTTTGTTCCTGAACAAGCACATACAGAAAAGCTTCAAGAAAAAAAGCAGCCCTAGTTTCAGACCAGGAATTCCCTCACCATACAACACAAAGATTAAAATATGGTTCATGGGTTACAAAATTCATCCCTGTAATTTCATGGGTAGTTGCAATTTCATCCTCTGAAGAGATCCTATAGCTGTTGAACTGATATGAGAAACTTGGCCCAATGGAAATATCACCGTTACATTGACCATTAGTATCTAAAGTCTGTCATGTAAATCATTGCTGCTGTAACTTCTTGTCAACGTAATTTCCCCTTCTTAATTTTCCGCTTCTCTTAAAATTACATTTTGTCAAAGTAATATAATTCTTTTCTGTTGTTCTTGTTCTTTTCCATGGATTATTCCATTTCTGCATGCTATATAATTAAAAAGAAAAATTACAATACGAGACACTTCCTAAATTGGCATGGCTTTCTGCTTTGCATATATCAGAATTTTTTTAAAAAATGAGAGATTTACTTACCTGGCAGAACAATTTGTATTACTTTTTCCCAAATACCATCTGGGTAAGTTACGATGGAGCGAAAGTGTATACCAACATTCTTCAAAGTGCTCTTGATGAAGGACAAGGACTTGTCTTCACTGGAAACATTTTCAAAGGGAATTCTGCAGTTGTATTTGTCTTCAATATGTATACCATAGATTGGGTGAAAGACAGCTATATTTTCTTTATGAGTTACATTGTTTCATCCAGGATGCCTGGCTTTTCGTGGCTTTTTTTGGGTATATGCATTGCAGTTTCACCTTCACAGTAAGTTTTACAGTTGAATCTGCAAATTTTCCTTTCACGCTGGTTAAAGCACACATAGAAATTCCATTTCAGAATTAACATAATTGAAAATTGAAATTATAGAATAACTCAGAAACAACTTTGGCAGCACTACAAGACAAATTCTGCAGAATATTTTCTCTAAAAAAAAATATCAAACCCTAGAAATCATTATTACTTCTAACTTCTGAATATCATTGAATAGTTAAAATTTGCTTGAACTACACAGTAACACATTTGTGAGTTGCAATTATATCTGTCATGATGTCATAAAAAAAGGAAAGCTGTTAACTAGAAATAAGAAAGCAGCCTTACTTCCACAGAGCTGGAGACCAGCAGTAATGATAGCTGCATGGTCCATCTCAAAAAACACTGGAATCAGTGATTACAGTGTGACCTAGTTTTATGCATATCTCTGTGCACCATGTGCCCTTCATGTAAAATGGATAGTTTTCTTTTGAAATAAACAAAACATCATATGCCTTTTACTTTCACATTCTAAGAAACACTAGGTTCGAGGCCTCAGTGCAGTTGCATCAGAGTCTAGATTCCTATCAAAATCCGTCTCAGAGTAAAGTTTTCATTACTAAAGATTTTTTAGCATTATGCATGAGTACTATGACAACTGATAAAGCCCAGATCTTCAGGTTTCATCAACAGAAGCAAACAGAATTCTTTCATACCATGTATCCAAAACCAACAGAATTTCTCAATTTTTCTGACACTGCAGTTAAATATTTATCTATTATTAAGGGAGTATACAATCTAAAGAGAAGATAAGACACTTCCTATACATAAGAGGTCATCATTCTGTGACTAGTTATAAAAAGTAGTGTCTTCAGGACTGAGAATTTATTTTTGATAACTTGTCATGAGATAGTATTTTGGGATCAAAATTATGCAGCTTGAAAATTCTTTTTCAAAGGTGTAAGAATCCTGAATATTTGTGACTCATGTTGAAATTTGTCAAAACAAGCCACACTTACATTTTTTGTGTATTTTTCTTAGGAAAGAAACCTAACCTAAGTCTTATGGAGCTGCTTAAAATTGGAACATGATTGATTTGAAGGCAAAACTAAGCTTGAATGAACTGGTTACATTTTAAAATAAAAAAGAAATGTAATTTGCACTAAAGCTGACAACAGAAATGAATATTTGAGGTGAGTAATAACCTGCACAAACTTGTGCAGGACTTAGCATTAGATCTGTTTAAAACATCTTCGACAATGCAACAACCTGTCTGGAAAACAAAATCTGAGTGTATTTTTCAGTATTAATCTATGCATGTTTTAGGATAATACAATATTTTTACTGTTTGCAATAATTTCATATTGATGCTTCCTAGTTAGATCTGTAATTCTCCATTGTTGTGGTTGCGCATATTTCTACTCTACCTTATCAATAAACACAGAATCCACGAAACAGTGAAGTAATAAAAAACTGGACTCTATATCAGTTTTTAACTCAAGAGGATGTACTACATGAATGAGAGCCTGATGTACTCTCAGAAATATATAAATACATTAATAATAATGTGTCTTTTGTTAAAATTTAGGGAAAAAGAAAGTAAAGGCTACTTTCCACAATCTTTTAAGCTGACATGATCCTTGTATTCCTGTTATCTAGAACGATTTTCACTAACAATTCAAGTATTTTATTAGTTTTATTCTTCTGGATGGCCTCTCCTTGGAAGGGAGGAGATCTGAGGTTCAATGTGAAGAGGTAATAACTTTTTTATCCTTCATGATTTTCCATTTTTACTTCCTAATTTTCCTTGTATGAGAAATCATGGTCTCAGCTGTAGGTAATTGCATTCATTGTAGGTAATGTATTCCCCCTCAACCAGATTTTTTTGTTTGTTTTATGAAGAAGTTTTATTCTTTGAATTCACCAGGTATGTTACTCATAGATCAGAACTTCTTTAAAAAAAAAACAAAACAAATTATATGCAAAATCTTTTCCTAGAAAGCTGAGTTTAGTCTTCTAAATAATATTTAATAAAAATGACTCCTCATGAAAATTTCTAATGACCTTGTCTCTTCATCTATGTATTGTTTTTATTTCAATATTATGAGAATTTCTGCAAGTACTAGAACTTCACAGCAGCACAAGTTTTGAGGATTAATAAAGAAGTCCTACAACACAACAAGCTGCTTTCAAGCAACTTCTCATTTTCTAAAATTGGGAATTACTTAAATTTCAATTGACCAATTGATATTATCCCAGCAAAACTAAAATCTGGATTTACAAAGTACATATACCTAGACAGTCAGTAACCTATCTGATGCTGAGTGTAAAAATTGAAATAGAAGAGAACTGAGTTGGAGAATGAGGCTTGTTTTATTTGCATTACAAAGTTATCTTCTCAAGCAGATCAAAAGATTACCCTACATTTAGCCTGCCTAAAGAAACAGAAGTATTATTGATAAGAAAAGCAGGAAATGGGAAGCTTTATTAACTGAACTGCAGATTTTGTATTGGAAGATAAAAGATCTTGTGAGTCAAAGGGGTCCAGTTCCTGGATGGTGTGTGGCATCACAGTCTTTAAACCCACTACAGAACAGAGGATCTGTACAGTTTCAGAAATGATTTAAATTGGTTCCAGATTTATGGTTTAAATCTGCAGCCTCGGTAGCTAGCTATTCTCAAACTGCATTTGCAAAAGAATCAAAAAGACAATCTATCTCGCTAGCTTGAAATATTATTCTTTATGTCATACTGCATATGTATATAGTAGTTTACAGATGAGTGGTGTTGCACAAAATCTAAAGTGGAATGAAAAAGATAAACATATATGGGGTATTTTTACTATTAACATTAAAAATGAAACTTTTTACACATCTGTTTTCTTTAATTAAACGCAAGATGAACTACCCAGGGAGTCTCAGAAATGAAGACAAATTTCCTTAAAATTATATTTCACCCATTAATATATATAAATTACAATTTTGCTACTCTGAATTTCATGATTGTTTCTCTCTATCTGGCATTAAAAGAAAAACAGAAGTTAAGAAATTAATGCCCAACCCTACATGATGACTAAGTATCAATGTTAATATGTTAATGTCTAAAGAATTTTATGTTCTGTACAGCAGGCACAGTTACTACAAATGTCAGGGATTCTTGGTCACCTAACCCCAAGAACAGGGTTCCTTGTCATACCTGCTAAAAAAAAAGCAGCCTGTAACTGGAGTGTTCCTGCATCTCCCTCTAAAGACTGCAATGCAGGTTTCCTTTAGACACCCAGGCAACGCACCTGCAAGTCACAAATTAGAAAGCTGTAGGCACTGCAGACATTGACTCTACTGGTGTCATTTTGAAAAAGGCGCACACTTAAAATGTCATATTTTCACAGAAGACACAACCAGTAAAAAGAAAAATACCCACCATCTCCAATCTACCGTCCTGGGCTGTGGACCTGTAAGAGCAGGTAGTGTAAGGAAAGGTCCACCATGCAGCTCCCTCCTTTCCAGATGCTCCTTGTACCTCCCTTACCTTTAACCTCTGTTTCTCCCTCTCCTCCCTGGTACTGAGAGGCTAGAAAATCTGCATATCTCTGATCATCTGTGGATAAGAAACAACAGCAGCTGCACATCTCATGGTCACTCCATCACCTGAGCAGCTCCTTGGGCTCTGCGTGTCTGGATCTCTGCCTACCTTTCCCAGCCTTTCCCTACCTTTCTCAGTCTGGCTCTTCTTTCCCAGTAACTCCACTTTCTCTCCATCCTTTGAATTCCAATGCAAACGAAGGGAAGGCTCAAAACCAAGCTGCATTTAACTAATTGTTGGCTAAATGCCAATTAGAGTTTGAGACCAAATGCAGCACGGTGAGATTTTTCCAGCTGAATGTACAATTGTAGGATGTGGTTAAAATAAATAAATAAATAAACAAATAAAAAGCTAGAAAGAGAAAGATTGTGCAGCAAACACAATGGAGGTCTACAGCTTGGATTTTAATCATGACTTGAACATGCATCTTTGGTGACCCTGGGTGAGTCATTTCATTTCCTGGTGCATTAATTTCCCAAACTCCAGTACATAGCTAATATGTAATGAGTGCCACTGTTTCAAAGCATGTCACAATAATCTCTGTAATGAGTTTTTTTAATGGAAATTGCTATAAAAGTATGAAGAAAAAGACTTACATACAGGGCCAGCACAATATGTTAATACCTTTTTTGATGATTCATTAGTATTTAAGATTTAATAGATAGGCATGTAGCAATACTGCGGAAAGAGTAGAAAATATACTTCCAGATTGCTGTTACCACAAGAACAAAAAAGGCCATGACTGCGGCAGTGCAGTGAAGCAGGAACAGCTAAAAAGGAGACCACTCCAGGTACCACTTCTTCATATACAAACGTGACTAACTGGAAAATGATTAGGACAAAAAAAAACCCTTTACTTTCAGTGAAGATAAATGGGCTGGGAGGAAGGAGGTTTTAGCTCTTTTGCACTTGGTATGAGCATCTCTGAACATTAACCATGTAGAAGCCAGGTTAACCAAAACGGTTCAGTAACAAGTAATATTGTTTTTTTGCATTCTGCACCTAAGGTAACAGAAGCAGTAAAGTCCCCAAAATTAGATTCATGCTTGATTCAGTAACATAATGGATAGCATTCTTCAGTATGCATTCATTAACCTCCAAGATGTTAACACCATCTTTTCTCTCTAACACATTCTTTCCCTCCTTCAAAGAGAAAAAAAAAGTTGTGAATTCAATACAATTGCACTTTAGGCATATATTGGTAAAGATGATTCAGAGAGGAAAAAAATAAATCTAAGAGGCTTTCCCAAATCTAGAAAAGAAAATAAAATCTAATCTACATACTCAAATTTCTCAATAATTTTTTATTGTTAAACACACTGGCCTCCAAGAGTCTATGTTATATAAATTATAGTTCTATAATAAAATGCTTCAACCCAAAAAAATCAATCATTGCAAGAGGATATGTATTCAGAAATCTTTAGATAAAGGACCATGATTCTACATTTCTGGAACTGGAAAATTATTTACATTTTTGGCACTGGATTACTAACTGGATATTCATCCTAACATAACACCTAAGTGGGTCAGGAAGTTAAAGACTGCTAGTGATAAAAAAACACAGTTGTAATACGAAGGCAAGATAAGACTAAATGCTGAGATTCAGGAAGGGTATTTTCAGTTTTTTTCAGGGAGATTATTCATGAGTAATGGATGCCATTAGAATATAGAAAGCTATGTTTAGTGACAGAGTAAGCCAGTGGTGAGATGTACTAGCGGTATAAAGGTCTGATTTAGGCAGTGGAAGAAACACCACTGCTGAAGAAATTTGGAATGCCACAAGCAGTACTGCTGCCACCTGTCAAGTGAAATGCGTTTGGCAGGAGATAACAAGGTTTGTGGGTTTTTTTAAGTTCACTGTTTAAGTAATGTTCTTTTGACGTGTTCGTAGCAGAAGAGTCCACCTGTGAAGACTTGTTGAACTTCAGTGAAGTTTGCATGTCTGCCTGTGAGGGGGAAATCCTTAAAGTACCCATTCAAAGTACTCCTCTGTCCATCTGAATAAAACAAAAGTGGAAAATAGAACAAAAAAGTTAACAAAAAAAAATATATATTATAGAAGATGGAACAAAACAGTTTTTTCTTCTATTTAAATATTTTTTGTTCAGTGATCTTGGCTGTAAATGTCTGCCACTTATTAGGTTAAAAAGGTATCAAAAATGTCCTTAAAAATATTTTATAAATTGTTTTACCTTTACAGTAAGAAGGTAGTACTGGATTTCTATTCAGATTTTGTTGATAATTAATCTATTCATTTTCATCCAGTAATAACATGGAAGACAGCAGTAGAAAACATGAAAAAAATTAATTTTCAAATGACAGTAGTAAATTACATTTGTGTGTCTAAGAATGTAATAATGTGTTTGTTTCTATCAGTTTAGTTCCTGGCTTCCTGTCTCTGATTTTATTAGTTTCCAAAAAGTGATATTATTTGCAGAAACCTCAAAGTTTCATTTTGATAGAAGAAAAATGAAAGCCGAAATGCTTCAAGGTTCCCACACAAATCCATTACTGGGACAGGAAATGGACCTTTCTGTTTCAGAGCACAGCCATTCTCATACACCTATTATTTTTCCTGAATTATCCTTTTCCTGGCTCAACCCTACTTTTTATGTCCATCATGATGTTCAAAAAAAAAAAAACAAAAACAAAAACCAACCAAAAAAACACTAGAAGTCAGTTTAAGGAAATGAATGTTGCTGAATTTTTTCTTTTGCTGGCAGAGGCATATAGAACTGTTTCCTAAACCATACCTTCAAATAGAGCCTGGATGTGAAAGCTTCCTGCAGAGGTGGTTCATTTAAGCTTGAGGCTATCCTTAATTATAGAATGTTGCAAGTGCAGGTATGTCTCCAAGAAAAATCTGTAACTTTCATATGGCAAAGAAGCTTATGACTTTCAAAATAGCCTTCAACATCCAAGGAGAAACACAAGGAGAGAAAACAATGCATTTTTCACATTGGCATCTTTTAACCTTTTTTGTTGATGCATTCAGGACCTGACACAACCTACCTTTCTAGCAAACAAAGTTATCTTGTGCATCTTCTTTTTCTTAAGCCCTTTTTGTACCCCTTTATGGGGAAAAAGCTTGGTAACAGCAAAGTGACAGTTAATCATTTTCTGATAATGCACTTCTCTTTCCTATAAGATCAGCTCAATGAGACAAGGCTATCTAAAAT